ATAAAGATGGTAGCAGTGTACTGGTTTTACAACTGACATCTAATCCATATAAAGATGGTAGCAGTGTACTGGTTTTACAACTGACATCTAATCCATATAAAGATGGTAGCAGTGTACTGGTTTTACAACCAACATCTAATCCATATAAAGACAGTAGCAGTGTACTGGTTTTACAACCAACATCTAATCCATATAAAGACAGTAGCAGTGTACTGGTTTTACAACCAACATCTAATCCATATAAAGACAGTAGCAGTGTACTGGTTTTACAACCGACATCTAATCCATATAAAGACAGTAGCAGTGTACTGGTTTTACAACCGACATCCATATAAAGACGGTAGCAGTGGTTTTACATACTGCCTCTACTTTAGCTGCCATGGATCTTTCTGTTCTTTACCTTTATTCACTAGTTAATTTTTTTATCTTGTCAATTTTTTATAACTGTAGAATAGCATAATGCCACATGAAAACGTATTTTAATGTAATCCTCTGAAGAGGAGGTTAATTGCAGGTATCAACTCACTTGCAACAAGAGGGTAAGGGACTTTTAACCTGTGAGGTTACGGGCCATAGGGATGACCAGGGAAAAGGTGAGTGAACCGCTTATTGTTATAATAAATTGTGAACACCTTCTGTAAACTTAACTAGCTGGATAGCTGTGTTGGTTACTAATTTAGGAGAGTGGCATATTTATCAAGCATATCAATCCAGAAAATGAAATGTTAGTCCTTTGTAAGAAAATATTTTATTAACTGTAAATGAGAATCCTGTTTGGGCCTATACAGTGTTTTGTTGTCAAGATGTGTGTGTGTGTCTATATATATATATATTATTTGACAAATATACACAAAGGTACACAGACATTCACTCCAGAACAAAAGCCATTTTATACAAATAAACAAAGGGTACAATACTACAGTTAGTTTATAGTGGGTTTGTAGGATTACACAACACTCCTGCTGATGAACTTGGATGAGGGTGTCCCTAGAAGTTGTTTATTTGGCACACTTTCACATTGAATGGTCAAGGAAGGACCACAAATACTCCACAGGTGAGTAGTCTAGCCAAGAGTCAGTGTTAATGTACTTACCTGAAAATTCAAGCCATTGTTTTAGAAACTGGGTTGAATGATCCAAAGTCCCACCTTATATGAAAATGTTGCCTTGTTTGTTAAGATGGCAATAGACAGGTAGGAGACCTTACTTACAAATGTGATGTATCAAGTTGCAGTGATTGTCCAGCTGTCTACGTAATGCTCCACACCATAACAGTAATACTGCTAAGTTTTGTTAGGGCTCAACTAAAGCTCCTCAAATGATGGTAACCAAACATAGGTGCCATTCACTGTCTAAGAATTGTACAGAAAAACTTACAGTACTCCAAGAGAGTGTGATAACAACTGTAATGTCCACTTCATTTGATGTAAAATATTGTATTACGTGAAAAATGACTTCCATCTAGCTACGTAGCCCACGTTATTACTTCTGATGGTATTGGAACACACTGTCACCTGTCCTATAACAGTAACGGTTGGTTGCTGTGGGTTCACACTCCCTCTCGTAACTTCTGTACACTTAGACCATGCAGAAACCATGGTTTTCTGATGTGAATAGAACTGACTTCACCGTGGATACGGCAACTGAGCCAGCAATTGTTTTGCCAACTTTGACCACCCTTCCAGCCAACAATGCAACCTTGCAAAAATATAGTTAATGTTTGGGATCCTTTCATTTGGGATTGTCTGTATTATGTGGTCTTTATACATTGTAATTATCTGCACGTTTTATCAAGGAGATGGTCGGGTTGTATACTAGAGATGTCTGTTTACCTAGTAGTAAGCTGTGAATTTTTAAACATGCATTACTACTGCATGATAATAATAATTAGTATTATTTTGATTGATAAGTAAGTCAAGTATCTACAATTTCCCATTTATTTGTTACAAATGAAATTCTACACAAAAATTATTTTTGTGAGACTTCACATCCAATTCTACTAGCAACTTAACTCATGATATGAGACTGTTCACTATTTATACAACCACATATCAACTGAAAAGTAGCCTAGATTAGCATAAGTCACGAGATGAAATTGTTTGATTTACTATAAATCTGTGTCTCAACCGACACATCCTAACTGAAAAGTAGCCTAGATTAGCATAAGTCACGAGATGAAATTGTTTGATTTACTATAAATCTGTGTCTCAACCGACACATATCAACTGAAAAGTAGCCTAGATTAGCATAAGTCACGAGATGAAATTGTTTGATTTACTATAAATCTGTGTATCAACCGACACATATCAACTGAAAAGTAGCCTAGATTAGCATAAGTCACGAGATGAAATTGTTTGATTTACTATAAATCTGTGTATCAACCGAAAAGTGGTCAATATTACAATTCAAGAGATGAAATTGTTGGCTTCAAAATACACACCTGTAAAGTGGATACGGTAAAAAAAAACAATTTTCAAAAATAGTTTATCAGTGAAAGAAATGATGTTTGAGATAATTAAATTTTCTATACAATTAAAAATCGGACAGGATTATACATCTTACTTCAAAGAACAGTCATTAATAAAATAGGTCACTCTACTACACGTGCGTACAGGAAAATAGAAAAACATAACATAAAAAAAATCTGTAAACTTTGTAAATCATGACCAGAGATTTGAAGTTAAGGAAATGTCGAGAGGAACTAGGGATGACACTTTCTCTAGAATTGTCTTGGAATGTCGAGAGGAACTAGGGATGACACTTTCTCTAGAATTGTCTTGGAATGTATCGAATGAAATGTCGACAATTCTAGAGAAAGTGTCATCCCTAGTTCCTCTCTTGGAATGTATCGAATGAAATGTCGAGAGGAACTGGGGATGACACTTTCTCTAGAATTGTCTTGGAATGTATCGAATGAAATGTCGAGAGGAACTAGGGATGACACTTTCTCTAGAATTGTCTTGGAATGTATCGAATGAAATGTCGAGAGGAACTAGGGATGACACTTTCTCTAGAATTGTCTTGGAATGTATCATTCAATTTTGTATTTATTACATTTTCACATACAGCAAGAACTAAGGAATAGATTATATATCATCTTGATTCCGAGTTGTACACACACATACACACAGATTGTCTATATGTGCATTAGATTTATTTAGAACAAAGTACTTACACAGTTGGATGGAGTGGCCATCTCCTAGTGGATACTTCTGATATCGTGGTACATTAACTGGTGGAAGCTGAGAAAACCTAACGCTCAACAGAGGCTCAATCCGAACAGCCGAAGGATCGGAAGGATGAAACAGATTGTACACTTGACTGCAAAATGGCCGAGGAGGTGGTGCTGTAACATTAATAATAAAAAAAGTGCTTCACAAAAAAAAACAAAGTTTAACCACCCATATGTATGTTACTTAAACTGACTCTTAATGAATGACTAAGGCACTTGTTAAAATCAAACTCATCAGATCTAGGTACAAAATACTAGAGTACGAAACGTTTTAAACACAACTTCCATATTGAAAAAATAATAAAAGGTATAGCACATAGTAGTAGTAAAGCTGATCCTGAATAAGTTCAACTAGTGTTAGGGATACTTGTTAGTACTTATATTCTTACTCGGGCATAGCAGGAGGTTTTCTGTGCCCTTATGCTGAGATTTAATGAGGCCCCTTAGATCTTAGTGTGGCTTTATAAGAACAAAGTATTGAATTGATGAAAAACAAAAAATTACATTTTAAATTGTTATTGCGAGGCTACATTAGAATTAAAAATTTGTAGAACAATCTAATGTTCTAGACTTACTATTTTTTTCATCAAATGACATTATCTTCCTGTAGGCCATTATCATACCCAACGGACTGCCAAACATGAAGAAGTCACTAACTTCAAATTCAATCTTGTGTTGAATGCTCTGATCACTAGAAGTTGAACTGGAGCGACGAGGAAGAGGAGCCGAAAGAAGTCTGGTGTAGCTACAGAAGTACAAAAATTAAAACAGCACAACAAGCTGTATATATTATTTTTACTAAAAACTCAGTTTTATTGAGGTTCAGGAGAATCTTAAAAACTGTATGGCGTATCATGAAAGAAAAACAACCACAAGTTACATAATTTAAACGTTTAAGTCTAAAACAAAATTCAAATATTATAAGAGCAACACCTGTAAAATATAACAACTTTTGACATTATATTATACTTATTATTAGTGTGATGAATTTCGCTGGTAAATACCAAATGGTTTTCAAAGAACAACCAATAAAGAGAGTAATATCCAATGTGAACGTTTTTAAGACTTGTGGCTTATGTGCTACAAAATAGAAAGTGTAATTCTTTTCAAACACATTTCCTTTAGGGATGTATTGAAGGGTTCTGATCTGTTTAAAATATTATAAAGGACAAAGTTCTATACCAAATCTTAGCTTCAACAAAAATTTTCATATTAACAACTGTCCACTAAAAGACACCACATATGTACAGATTACAGTTTATAATATTCACTGGTAATAAATGACACCAAGACTGATAACAGTTTTAGTGACATTCTCCCCAATACTGGCACCATGGCTGTAGCTAGCTACAGGGAAGATGAGGTTGTGGTTTTAATTCTTTAACACACAAATAATTGGAAGTCTGAGCTTGGTAGAATATTGGCTCTGGTTATGTTTATGACTGGCACATATGTACACATAACATATTATACTATTCATTGATACTAAGTTACACCAAGACTGATAACAGTTTTAGTGACATTCTCCCCAATACGGGCACCATGGCTGTAGCTAGCTACGGGGATGATGAGGTTGTGTACTTGGTTGTTGTTTTAATTCTTTCACACCCAAGTCTGAGCTTGGTAGAATATTGGCTCTGGTTATGTTTATGACTGGCACATATGTACACATAACATATTATACTATTCATTGATATTAAGTTACACCAAGACTGATAACAGTTTTACTCACATTCTACCTTGTTGACCACAGGTGAACTATATTCCTGTTCCAGAAAAAAATGTATAATATCATTTGAACAACATTGCCTTTTGTTCACTACCAGAGCTCATAAAGCCTATATATGGCATACTAAGCCTAATTGGAGATGTTAATTACCACGGTAATTTATGAAAAGTGATTAAAATTATTACCAGTCTTACGTGATTTGATATGGATCATGTATAGCCAACTTTGACATTTTACAGTGTTATTAAATGGTAAAGCTAAAGCTTAATAACAATGTAATTACAGTTCACGTAACTTGAATCAATCATAGTTCAACGTTGAGATATCCTATTCAAATGTTGGGGGGGGGGGGGTCGTAACTTACCTTTTAATGCTAATTAAAAATACTTATATTATTAGAACCTGCAATTCAGAAATAACATAATGTTGGATAAAAAAAATAAGTAGTCAGCCAGAAGACTAGGAAAACCTTCAACAGAAGAAGGTCTCATTTCCTCACATTGTAAATATTACATATTTGTTTGTTTATTACATTGGGCTATCTTTGCTCTGCCTGCCTAGAGTATTAAAACCCCACAAACGTACTGCCGAGTCTTTTTATATAATAATAACAGAAGCAGTATAGGGTCATGTTAGATAACAAAAAAATCTTTTTCTTTGCAACCAGATAGTTCATGGTTACAAAACAGAAAATAAATTTAACTCGGTTTCCAAGAGAGGATCAACCGGTAATAAATATAGCTAATTTAATAAATTGTTCTTACAAGTATTACTTATAAAGATTAGAATGTATTGTTTCATCATTTCGGTACTCCTGTTTGCGATATTTTCTACTATACCCGACAATGTCTCGCAAGGTTCGGCTGAGGGGATTTATGTTAGTCCTAAATACGTGTACAAAGATAACTTGGAATTAAATTTTGAGAAATGCAAGTATGAAAAAAGTAATGATTATATGCATAAAAAGAAGAGCTTAGTGTTTATTAAAGGTTAATTAATATAAACTGAATTAGTAATAGGTTCACCAAATGATTCGTTACTAATCTACGACTTCTGATCGGCAAATTACTGCCATCCTTAGATTAGTTGTTTATTAGAAATAGAGAAATCAATAGTAAATAATTCCTCTATTATTATCACATTCTGAGCTGATATTATCACAAATCGCTTAGTTTAATTACAAAAATGTGTACGAACTAGAAGAAAAAACTATCAGCTTACGAGGCAGCATCGTAGTTGGTAGAATCGGCATCCTTAGGGTGTGAGTAAGATTTTCTGTAAGTTCTGATACTGCTTGTTACAGTACCTGGTCTCCTACTTCTTGAAATCTCACCAACATCTTCGTTTCCACTGCCGTTGCTAATGGAAATTAAAGGATTTGGTCTACCCGTGTAACTGGGGCTGTGGGGTCTGTTTCGAATGTCTGCACTTTGTTGGTTAGTGGGTTCGACCTCAGCGATACTACTTTCACTCCCATAATGGCTATTTAACTGGGATGTTCGACACAAGGCATCGTATAGTAGAACTGCTCCCAAACTATCTCCAATGACAACAACCTGATAAGTGTTCATAAGAATATATAGATCTAAATTGCTGAGGATAAATGGTCCATAAACTATTTCAACTGTAACATGTGTATGTGTAACATGTCACTTGCACTGTACTTTTACATACACGGTGGCACTACAGACAATAAACAGTTTTGGTGTAAAGTGAAAGATGTCTGTCGTATCGTGTTAAATTGGCATATACTAACTTATGAAAGATGTTCTCTTTGAAGTGTTTAAATGTGACAAAGAAACGTGTTAGTATCATATAAGTAATATTTCACAAACTACATTGCTTTAGAAATATATATTGCAAAGAAAACCACTTTAATATCATTACAAAAAAAAGATTTCAGAAACTATTTTCCTGTAAAAATGTGTGGAAAAGAACTACATTAGGAAAATTCTTCCAATTAAAGTTGAAAATTGTCCACGAAAGTTACGGAGAACATAAAAGGACCAAATCACCTTCATAAACATCAAAGTTTCTAGATTAGCCTACTATAAACATCAAAGATGATGATCTTCACACATTAGTCATAAAAACAACAACAAACAAACTAGGACACAGGCTGCAAGGGACTTGCTCTATCATTAGGAAGGATTAAGGAATATAATGACACAAATGATATGTTACGTTACAGAACAGATAATACTGTGAGACTAGAAACTGTGGTATGTATAAACACACAGAAAGGGTAGAAGTCAAGACAAAGTATGACGATTTGTTTGTTTGTCTACAATTTTCTGTACTGGCAGTCCCTCGTTTTGAACTAATAGATTAGATAGAATGCTGTGTTTGTCTCATCAAACAGTGGGATTTGACCACAACCCCAAAGTGTGGAGTACATTTCTGTAGCAACAGGATATAAACCATGAATCGTCAGATTCACAGTCTGGGCATAATATTCTCTAGACCCTATTCAATCCTTGTTGATAAGGAAAGGCTCGGAAGCATAGATATGACTGTTTAGGATCAGATTTTTGGTTAATCATTCATTAAATTGATAATATTAATAGCACCTAGACCACTATTATGTCTGACTTATCCCAGTAGATCTGATGAGCCTCATTATTGGGCAAAAGGCCTCATCAGCATTAGATATGGCAGATATTATAATGTCATTGACTAGGTCACATCTGGAGTGCTGTGTTCAGTCTTGGGCCCCTTAGAATGGACATTTAGTTGTTGGAAAGGGTTCAGAGGAAAGCTCCTAGGATGATATCTGGGATGAAAAGATTGTCATCCAAGGAAAGGTGTTAAGATCTCTCAACTTATTTTCTCTTGAAAAAAAAAAAAGAGTTAGAGGGGATCTGATTGAGGAGTCTAAGACTGTTAAGGGGATTGATAGCGTGGATGCATGCATCCACCACATCTGAAGGTTCCAGAGGCCAACCACCCTGTTAGAAAAATATAGTTGTCTTAGCTGAAGATGTCTGCCATCCTGTCAAACTTTACACTTGTGTCCTCTTGTCTTACCATTAAATACCAAAAAAGATGATGCATCCACCACATCTGAAGGTTCCAGAGGCCAACCACCCTGTTAGAAAAATATAGTTGTCTTAGCTGAAGATGTCTGCCATCCTGTCAAACTTTACACTTGTGTCCTCTTGTCTTACCATTAAATACCAAAAAAGATGAGTTAATTTACGGGAGTTTAGGGGAAAGGTTGATAGATATTTGAAAGAAAAGGCTGGTTTTGCTTTTTAGTTATTCATTTAGTGGATAGGATAGCACAGATGGACCAAACATTCCTTGTTGTCCTTTAATTGTTATATGTGTATTCTTCTTTGCTTTCTTTCATAAGTTCTTAAAAGATGTACTAATTACAACAATCTCTTTCTTGTCACTTATAGAGAAGAATACGTTTATGATCGCACTTACATTTTGTACAATGCTAAGTGCAGGCATCATGGTACTAGTTGAATACAAGTAACATCAAAACAAAAACCTGAGGCAGATACTCAATAAAAAATGATTCTGGTATGCTGATACTTAACGTACATGAACTGTTGGGTTTTGCACGTAGTACACTAGTATATACACACACACGTACACAAATATGTATCACTAAATCTTTCTTAATACAGTACAAAACTTACTTGGTCACAAAAGCCATGGCCTTCTTCAGACTTGAGAAATTCGTGGTAAGTCTGGTTGGCAGCAGTAACTGTTCTTGAAATACACACTTGGTATTCAGGACATGAGATGGCAAAAAGTGGCATACAGCCTAGTGGAATCGCATCATAAGTGTGTGAAATACCATCAATGGCAGATGGAGATGATTGAAAACTATATGGACTTAGACTGAAACAGAATAGAAAATGTATAACTAACAATTAGGACAAACAAAGTAGACACAGTATCAAGTTTATCTGAATCACTAGAAGTTAAACTATGGCCATTTAGGAAAGTAATGAATTCAAATGTTTATTATTTGTCTAATTTAGATTCCACCTACAATTTAGTAATAACATCAAAAAGCATCAGGCTAGAGGAATATCCTGAGTTTCAAACTATTCAACTAATATTCCACCTACAGTTTAGTAATAACATTAAAAAGCAGGATCATCAGGCTAGTGGAATATCCCGAGTTTCAAACCATTTGACTAATATTCCACCTACAGTTTAGTAATAACATTAAAAAGCAGGATCATCAGGCTAGTGGAATATCCCGAGTTTCAAACCATTTGACTAATATTCCACCTACAGTTTAGTAATAACATTAAAAAGCAGGATCATCAGGCTATTGGAATATCCTGAGTTTCAACGTAAAAAGGTCAACAAGATAGTCCATTAGAAAGTACTCTTATTCTTTTTTATAACATTGTATGGTTTTATTGAAAAATATTATTCATATCCACTCACGAGTAATGAAATAGTGACATGAACAGAAAAAAAGATTTATTATTATTTTTTAACAGACTTCCTCAAAACAGTTACTTTGCACCTCTTCATCATTTATCAAATTCTAGTTTGGTGTTTATCCATGTGAAGCTACAGTCTTACCTGGATAAAACTGCTAAGGCTTCTGAACAAACTGCAGGACAGGATACCAGACGAATTGCTATACGATTTACCAGCATGGGATAGTGTTGATACACCAGGCTGTCAAGAGTGCTACGGAAAGTACTTATGTCCGATTTTTTGGAGCTGGGGTCTGTGCCAGTGTCTAGAACACTGCTACAGTGAAATACCATTATCAATACGGTAGTGGGGCAACTTTGACGGACGGGTGAAGTGAAGGGGCTTGATGGCACGTAGGCATCCACGCTCCCACTTGAAGCTACTGATGGATAGTCTTTACCGAGCTGTCCGTTTTGTACTTTTTTAATGTAGGTGTCTACTAAGGAAAGGTTATGAAGATCAAAATATGAGTTAATATTAACATAGGAAAAATTAAAAGGGTTATAATGGGCATGAGCAGAGAGAGAAAAAAAAAGACTTAATGCTTGAAGTTCAAAACAATATTGTGAATAATTGTACAAGTTTAAAATCTCTCATACTGTGATGAAATAAAACTTTTAAGCCTATTCTAACAGCTTCATGATTGTACACTAAATAGCTACTGTGTGATTGGTATAACTCGGATAATATATTCTTAAGGTTAACTTAATTGCTTCTTTTACTTGGATATACGTAGAGATTCTGATTTTATTGAAATACTTTAAAATAAACTTTTTTGAAGTATTCAATTTAACAATAATGTTTTTGAAAATGTAGGAAATATGTGAAACATCAACGATTTGTGGTGAAAAACACGATTACTACAGTATATTTTTAAATCTCCTCCTCCTTCTTTAAAGACAATACACGCTTACCCTCTTTGATATTTTCTGTAAATTCTTTATCTTCCTCGATGGGAAGAATGTCCAGTGAACTCCATTTTGCCAGACTCATGGCTTCCGCTTCATCTTACCAGAAAAAAAGAAAGTTATAATAGAGTTTCAAAACAATGTATATCAATAAGTAACTAAACTAACATTTCTTAATAATCTGTAAAAACCTACTTAATAATTTGGATCTAATTAGTCCTTTTTTTGAGACAAGCTGTAATCATATCAAGGTGACATAGAAAAACTTTCATACACTAATTTTATAAAAGTTTGTTCAGTGCTAAAACCATAATATTTTTCACGGACTCTAGGATTATCCGACAGGGTTCAGTATGGACGGATTTCAGTTTCTTAACTGTATTTTTCTAGATTATTTATGTACAAGGATTATCCGACAGGGTTCAGTATGAACCGATTTCAGTTTCTTAACTGTATTTTTCTAGATTATTTATGTACAAGGATTATCCGACAGGGTTCAGTGTGGACCGATTTCAGTTTCTTAACTGTATTTTTCTAGATTATTTATGTACAAGGATTATCCGACAGGGTTCAGTACGAACTGATTTCAGTTTCTTAACTGTATTTTTCTAGATTATTTATGTACAAAATTGCTTGAATTTTATACAGAAAATCAGTGATTTCGTCCAATTTACTTGGTCGTTCCTTTTCAACGAGCATTGTGACAAGAAAAAAATACTGAATATGATGCAATAGTAGATCCCGTTGTTAATAAATGATATAAAACAAAGTTGGTTGTTAAGCATTAAGCTACATAATGGGCTATCTGTGCTCAGCCATCAATGGGCACCAAAACAAGAATTTTAGAAATGTAATCACACAGACTTACTCCTGAGTTACTGGAGGGGCTGGTTAAGAAGGAAAAAATCATGAAATATACCACTAATTTTCATACTTTGTCTTATTTTAAATTTACACAATCTTTAAAATTTCACAACAAAATGTAATAATAATAGCATACTGATTTGAGTTATCAATGTACAAAACTCCTACCTTCAGCATCAAAGAATTCATCCTCAGAGCTAGAATTAGAATATTTTCCAATACTTTCCATCCTCCAATTAGCCATCTGAACATCTAAACTTTTGTTAGAGCTGCCATCTGTAAATGTACAGAGGACAGGTGAATCAGTCAAGTTACTGAAATACAACCATTTTAATTATGGCTAGAATCAGACTATAACACACGTTGTTAGTGCAATCACAAATTTAAATATCTGAGATAAAATCAATTCATCAAGGATCGTGGCTGTCTTCTGGTTTCCTTTAAACATATTTCCTGCAGGTTAGAGGAAGTGCTTATCAGCTGTACTCCAACCAACACCATCAACTTTTCTTATCAATGATTTGCCATTGTAGATCACTGATCAGAAGAGTTGATGGTGTTGGTTGGAGTACAGCTGAGCAGCCATTGTAAGCCCAGCTGTACTCCAACCAACACAATCAACTCTTCTGATCAGTGATCACCAATGACTGCCCAGCTGTACTCCAACCAACACCATCAACTCTTCTGATCAGTGATCTACAATGGCAGCCAAGCTGTACTCCAACCAACACCATCAACTCTTCTGATCAGTGATCTACAATGGCTGCCCAAGCTGTACTCCAACCAACACCATCAACTTTTCTTATCAATGATCTACAATGGCTGCCCAACTGTACTCCAACCAACACCATCAACTCTTCTGATCAGTGATCTACAATGGCAGCCAAGCTGTACTCCAACCAACACCATCAACTTTTCTTATCAATGATCTACAATGGCAGCCAAGCTGTACTCCAACCAACACCATCAA